ACGGAAACTTTTATTCACTCAACAGAGATGCACCTCATGAATAACCAAAACTTAGGAGGAACTGAACCTGACTTTGATCTTGCTCCTATTACATATGGAGATTTATACAATAAGTTATTAGAAGCACAAGAGGTAACCCCACGGTATGTGAAGCCTTTGCATCCTCCATATCCGAAGTTGTTTGATGTTAATGCAAACTATGAATATGACACAGGAGCTTAAGGACATTATATGATACTCGTGTTTCCTTCAAGCGTCAAATTTATTACCTGCTAGAGCATGGAGTTTTAGAATTCGAGAAGGAATGTCAACCTGGTTCAGTAGCCGAACATCTAGTCAAGGTAAAGCCGAGAGAATCCAAAGACAAAAGAGTTAGTGAAGGCATCCAAAAAGAAAAATGTTTGTTGAAATATGAAGCTCAACAGTTGCAGAACGAAAATGACATTATGAACAAATAATTGGAAGCCATACAAGATGGTTTTCAAACATTCAGTTAAGACTTCCAAACGGTGGGTTTAGGCAGTACTATAATAGAGTGGCAAAAAGAAGCCTCTAAATTGAAGAGTGACGTCGAACGATGGCAGATGAATTGCAAAATACACAAATGACGAGCTAAGAGGTGCTCTCGAGATCTGCAGATTACAAAAGGTGAACGTAGAGTAGCCTTACAAGAATTAGGGCTTTGGGAAATGAAGAATGAAATGTTGATAACAGCCCTTACCGAAACAAAAGCCTCATTTCAAAACCATATTTATGAGAAAAATACTGAACTAGAAACCAATAGAGCCGACAATAAAACAATGATAGAGCTAATATATGACTATAAAAATCTTGCCCAAGAACTTCATGATCGTATCGAGTCTTTTACGAGAGAGAATAGTCAATATTGCCTACAACTTCAAAGGTTGAAATGTAAAATGAAAAGAAGACAATGCGATTAATGAGGCAGTTACTCAAGCGAGCAACGTGACTCACAAGTTGGTCGACTTAGCCATCTTTGCAAGAGATTTGAAACAGATTGATGGCTCACCACCATATCATGCCAGAAAGATAACTTGGCTCCTAAATAAGATAAAAAAGCTAGGAGCTAAAGCTATTCGTTATATGTGGTTTGGTTATTCGATGTACTGAAACCTTTTGTGATCAATAAAAATAATTTAAGATGGTTACTATGGATTGACGCCTTTTTACAGGCATTGCATTTATTTTAATTTTATGCATTTTTTTATAAAAATCATCAAATTAATTTATGAAAGGTTACATACAGTAATACCAAGATCACCCAACCACATACTCCTCCATTCTTGATGGATAAAAGGTTAGAAGAAATAGAGCAATCCCAAGGAGAGTTATAAGATCAAATACGATATCAGATGGTCATGATGCAACAGAGGATGAAAAATCAATCTTTAGTTTCTCAAGAAGAAGTGTTGGGTTAGATGACTAAAATATTGGATACAATGATCGTCAACCGAGAAATAGCATCTGCTAAAAGACGTCAAAAAATTGACACATCAAGGTTGGTTGACCACCCTAGGGTATTCTATTTGGTTAAGGGGAGGAATCTCAATGTTACCGAGCATTTCAAAGGAAAAACTAAGTAGGGTCGATTGAGGTAATAAAGGTTGATGAGATATCCCATGAAAACTTAGATGCGAGAGAGCTAAGCTTAGTCCCCACCTTGGTTAATCCTCACGAGTTTAGGGTACCTGAGTTTGAAAAGTATAATGGTACCAGTTGTCCTTTAATCCATTTAAAGATGTTCTACAAAAAGATGGAGGGGTACTTGAATAACGATGATTTATTGATTCATTGCTTCCACGACAGTCTTACGGGACCGAATAAGGTGTGGTATACCCGTTTGAGCAAAGAGCAAATTAAGTCATTGACCGATTTGGCCAATGCTTTCCTAGAGTAATACAAATGTGTCAAAGACATGGATACAAATTGTCAGGATCTTCAGAAACTGAAGATGAAAACTACTGAAACCTTTAGATGCACTAAGATGGAGAAGTCTGGCAGCTCAAGTTCAAACTCTAATGCTAAAAAAGGAAATTTCATGTATGTTTCATAGCACCATTCCAGACCCTTTCTTCGAGTTGTCGCTTACAAATTCAATAAACGATTTTGAAGATCTTGTGTCAAGTGTGGAACAAGTAGAATATGTAATCACAAGGGGAATTTGAAGACTGCTTCTGAAAGATCAACCATTCAAAAATCAAAAGATAATGAGGTGAATGAATGTCATGTCTAGAGCTTGAAGTGTTTTTGTTTCAAAAGAAAAAAGAAAAGACAGAAAGAATAAATGGGGGAGAAGGAACAACCGTGCAAAAAAGGGTGAAGGCAGAATGAATTTCTCATTGAAACTAGGGTTTTTGCGCCTATTGGGTAGTTTTGGTCTCTCAGCGAGCGGGTCATTGAAGAATTTCGTATTTTCAAAGATGGCCCTTTTTTGTTTTCTTTCATTTTGGTCACGCTTTGATTGGGAATTCGTGTTTTAAATTCTTTAACTCTTGCAATCCACTCACCGTGTAATATTGTATGCCGACCTTATGCATTTTAATGGAATTCGATTTAGTCTCTGCATTTCTTTACCTTTAATTTTAATGTTGATTTTATGGAATTGGTTTATTATTTCAATTTAGATGCTAGCTTTGATTTCTCCCAATCTAATCATATGTGTAATTACAATATCAAGGCTTATGGTTTTAGTTCTTTTAATTTAACCATTAGTTACTTTTAATTAGATCACATTAATTCTAGATTTCTTATTTAGTTTAAATTAAATTCTTTAGATTTTAGAATTTATCAATTTGATCACCAATATTAATGTTAATTATTAATCTTTAATTAGGACTCTAAAACTTGGTAATTTAGTTATTCATTAGAGTCTAGCCTTTAGTTAGATCCGTTGGATTTTAACTTCTTTTATATTAGTTATTAATTAGAATTAGTCATCAAAACCCTTAGATTTTTAGACATTTAAATTTACTCACTTTTTAGGACTTGACCTTTAATTAGGTCCTTTAAATTTTATAATTCTTTAAATTTTGTTTTTAATTTTAACTTAAGTTTAGAATTAAACTTCAGGTTTAGAACTTCATTAATTAGATCAGTAGATTAAATTTATAGATTAGATAAAAGACCTTAAGATTAGGTTCTTTAGTATTGATCACTAATTTAGAATAAATTTGATCCTTCTAAGTCTAATTACTTCTAATTTAGTTCAAATACTTTTAAAAATTTTAGAACTCATTATAAGCACATAATTGAGATTAATTAAAAATATTTGTTTATTTTCTAATATTGAAAAGAGCGCTCCTAAAACAATTGGACATTTAATTTTAATATTAATAAATAAACAAATATTTTTTTAAGTAGTCGCTTAAAGTTAAATTAGGTCCCATTAATTAATGAATAAATACAAACTCATCCTTCCTCAATAACCCGATAAATTGTTTAATCCCTAGTTTTTAGGTTTTTATTATTTGCTTTCTTTTTAAAAAAAGTCTTTTAAGTGACATTCTTCAAAAAAATTAATTAAATTATAAGAAATGATTCCCTTAACATAACTAGGGAGTCACTTTCTTCGTTAATTAAAAATAAATAAATTGTGTCATATTTGTTCCTAAATTTCTAAAAGATGTAGAAAATGCCAATATTATTTCAATTAAAACATAAGAAATAAATTCCCTTACTATAACTAGGAAGTTATTTTCTTCATTAATTAGAAATAATAATATACAATTTTAAAGTTTTTTAAAATAAATTTCTTAGAAATCAAATAATTTTCTATGTATTCCGATTAAAACACAAGAAATAATTCTCTTAACATAACTAGGGAGTTACTTTCTTCTTTAATCGGAAATAAATAATAATAATTTTTCCCTAAAATTCCTTTTAAAATATTTTGTGAATAAAAGAATTATAAATTCAAATTCTCAAATTTCTAATAATATGGACAACGATATAATTGACGGAACCGATTTCGGGCGCTACTGGATGCTAATCCTTCCCCGAGTGTAATTGACTCTCGGACCCAGAATCTCTTAAAATGCATACCACTCGCGTCTTTTGAAATTTTTCATTAAAATTATTTAAAAGGATGATTTTCCGGGTATTCGACCTACCTAATCCAAATGTCGATGGTGATTCTAACCTTTTTAAAATGTTTTTTAATTTTTGTTAAACACTTGACTCCCAAATTCTTCCGAGCGAAAAAGTCATCATGACAATAACCTTACCAATCCATTTTACTCAATTCACAATCAACATAATTAAAACTTCTGACATTGCTTAAGGATTCTAGTGTTTTATCTCACTAAACCAACCGATTATTGGTAAAAACATAATAATAATTGGATGCACTTTAACTTTATAAAGATATAATTTAAGAAGAAAAAAAAAGATAAATTATATAAAATAAATTAACTGAAATTGACAGCATGTTATTGAAAAAATTATCGGGCTTATTTTTTTACACGAGAGAAAGCTAAAAGAATATAAAAATTAAAAGTAATAATGATGACAAACTTTCATTAATGTACTAATTAGTATTATTACACGTGTTTTAAATTGAGTGGTGAGACACTTATAGGAACATAAAATGGGAGCAAGAGAATTCTATTATTGTCGATTATAATTTTTTCCTCAAAAAAATCGATAGAATAAGCTATCACTTTTTTGTTTATATGTTATTTTTTAATGGCATTGATTATAAAATTATATTTTTTTAAAATCTTTTTAAATCATTGGTATAGTATGCATATGATTTGTTTTTGTCTATTTTTTATTTAAACAAGCGTTGAACATATACATCTGAAACCGTTAAATGAAAACAACATTTTCTCTAACCATTAAAAACCAACTATCACATTTGTCTTTGTTCATTTGTTGTTTGAACAAACATAGAATAACATTGATTGAAGATTGTAATTACATATTTTACATCGTGACAGCCTTTCCACACATATTGCAACCATTTCGACGTAGACAAAAAAAAGGCGAAATAATTCACAAGAAATAAAAATAAAAATCTGATAAATATGGTTTCGTTTAAGGATTTAAATCTGGCAACGAGCGCTATAGCGGTAATGCAATGCTATTTAACTCCTTTCAAGTGAAAGGTTAATTTTTGGCGCCAGCGTAGCGATTGACAATAGACAAAGAAATGCTGGTTAAGTGTGCAACTTTCTCAATCACAGTCCTCACCTTATCTTTGACAGCTCCATCAACGGCAGTCTCAGAGAAGCCATCCATGCAGGTATTTTCATCGGTCAAAGCAGCACTCGCCCATGTTTGTACATCACTCATCCGAAAAGCAAAGCTTTTGCCACCACTCTCACCCATTTCGGCAACAGACCTCTTGATCTCATCGAATGAATCACTTATTTCCTCCACACAATCCTGGAGAGCCGCTGCCTCTCTTGTCTTTAATCCCTGCTTTTTGCGGAGCTTGTTGAACGACTTCGAAGCCGAACGTGTGGTGTTAAGTGCGACGAAGAGGGACTTGGTGGCTAATATTTGGGGGCTGCCTTTGATTTCAGCTGCGTAGCTTGAAAAAGTGGCGAAACATAAGTCAGGGTAGCTCGTGGAATCACACCAAGTTTTGATGAAGGCTGTATCAGTTTCCGAGCTAAGGAGTTTTCTTGCTGCTGAGCATGGGGGAGATGTAAACATGGCGATAATAAAGATGGCTGACATTGAAAAGCTTGAACTAATCTTTTTCATTTTGTTCTTCTTTTTCCTTGATTTCAGCAGAAAAGCTTAGAGAGAGGGATCTTAGTTTATAGAGGGAAAAAAGCTCATAAAATTTTGATCACCTAGTGAATTTGGTTTTATATTGTTTCATTTAAATTGATCTGCTGTCAGTATCTTTAATTAGCTATTTTTTAAACTTATTTTATTCATAGATTCCCTTAATAATTTACAAACTATAGCTGAAAACTTAATTCATATATCCATATAATAATAGTTTTCTCTCTCTCTTTTATCATACTTGTGTTTAATTCAATATTGACAGGATAACAATTAGCTTTATATTCAAGATGTTTAAATTTATCTAAAATTTGAGAATTTGAATAAAATAAAAAATCGTTCATCTTATTTCAGTTTTGAATATTATCTCTTAAAAGATACGTTTTAAAGAGTATTATCTAAAGATGATTTTATATTATATTTCCTTAAAAAATGATTTTAGAACAAACAAGTTACTTCAATTATTAAAAATATTTTATTTTCCTTAGAAAGTTTGGCTCGAGCAATTATATTTAGGGATGAGCATCGGTCTAATTGGGTCTGATTTTATGCCAATTTGATCCAACCCAAAAAAATATGCCCTCCTTCCAAAACCCGATCCGACTCAAATTTAGGGTGACTTCACATTAGAACTTGGCCTTTTTTTTTAGATAAAACTTAAATCCGACACAACACTAAACAAATATATTTATAAAAAATCAATTTTATTCAATAAAAATAGAGATCTAATTGAAAAAATTATATAAAGAATGATATTATTTCAATTATCATTAAATACATGAGATCTAATTGTATTATTTTTAGGTCTAGTATCCTTTCACTATAAAATTGAATCTGATTTGACTCGAACTCGTTTTTTTAAATGTTGACCCAATAGAATCGAATCGCAACCTGTCAGATTTGGATCCCTTGTTCATCCCTAATTATATATGCATAATGTGTATAAATTATTAATGATTAACTTTTTTTCAAAATATATATAATTTTATAACCACTTTGTATTATTTAAAAAATAATTTTATATAAACTTCATAATTATAGGTGACATGTTACATTAAAAATATCAAAGCAACACAAATGATAAAATACTGATATGAGGATGAAAACAGCCTTAGAACAACAAATAATGCATCCAGAACATATCAATTAAAATAAGCATTAAAAAGATTTGTGTTCTGAGAAAAAAATATATTGTATAAGAATGGACCCGTACTTTTATAACGGATTCTCGTAGCAGTTGATCGTTGTGCAGATTGTTTCATTTATAAATATTATTTATCCATGATGGTGATAGAAAGCAAACACTTAAAATAATAATAGTTGAAGGAACAAGATAGCATACCAATGGCGACGAACGATAAGGTTAATATTTCAGATATTAAAGGACGCAAGGAGCGTGATATAAGCCAATTTTTCATTAAGTAAACGGCGACGTTTTATGTAAGGTGGTATTCTTCTTGGTTTAAAGGTAGTGTTAGTTTCTTATGTCCTGAATTCAAGTAGTTGGGTATAAAATATGTGTACATAATCAATGATTAATAAAGACTATCAATGGATATTACTTTATAATTATCTCATATTATTAAACAAATGTAACCCCCTCAGATCGATGCAGGTTACCTGATCCGATCCGAGGTGTCACATTAGGGTCACCGGAGTAACCCACCTAAAAAATCACATAAATTAATTTTTTTTGTTAAAATTATTAAAATCATAAAACAATTTATAAATACATCAGTAAAATTTAACAATGTTCAGAAATAAAACAGATTCCAGACTCGGATAAAAACAAAATACAAGCTGCATGCCCCCTAATCACATGTACCGTACTCCGCAAGCAACGCCGGTGGAACTCCTTTACTGATGTCGATAGTTGCACTGGTTCAATCCTTTTAACCTGAAATAGTGAGTAACAGAGTGAGCTTTGGAAAGCTTAGTAAACCAGTACTACCAAAAGATGCTGAAGAACATGCAGAGAATATGTAAGCATAATTTTCTTATTGGTTCAGACATCTACAAATATTTATGCTGAACAGAGGTCCTACTGATATCTCAGGTAGTAAAAGACAGGAAGCTTTCAGTTTAGAGTAAATGTTCGAAAGATTAGGTTCAGGAGATCATAACAGGGTGTCTAGTGTGTTCCCACAAAACCAATGAAAATGTACAAATCTTTTTAAAACAGTAGCAGTTTAAAACATATTTTTCAAAAACCATATAAAACCCTCCAACCGAATGCCATATGTAGTTCCCCAGAACTGCATAACCTAAGAGAGCACCTTGGGGCCTGAGAGCCTACCCAAGAAAGATTCTCGGGGCCACAGGGTCTACCCAAGAAAAATCTTGAGGTTGTAGGGCCTACCCAAGAAAGGTCTTGGAGACTCAGAGCCTACCCAAGGGTCGCCTTATGTTCATAAGGAATTATCAGTCGATGCTGAACCTATACAAGGAATTACCAACAGTAACTGAACCTGCCAGAGTCTTCAGTCATACCAGAGTCCCAGAGTACCACATATAAAATAATTTCAGTAAGTAAACAGAGATATCAGAAATCAAAATAGATAAATTAGAGAAAACATATGTGTGAATGAGGAACACACTAGAGGTTCCATATATTATTCGAAGGTACTTGATAATCTTATCAGGCAGGGAAACACAGCTCTTCAGTATACCAATAGAATGTCATAAATTAGAATCATTATCGAAAGAGTTCACTATCTGACTAAATCATCAGTTATTCAGAACGTGATTTATCAGGATCATATAGTATTCGAACATTTTTCAGAGGCACTATGAAATATGAAAGGTATTCAAAATCCTTTGCATTTGAGTTACTTGTGTTTTCAGATATAACAAGAGTGATTCCATTATTCAGGAAATCAGAGCCATTTTGGGCATTAGGTTCTTGAAGAATTCTTAGTGATTTGAGCTGAGAATGGAGAAACGAAGATTTAGGACATTTATGATTTGTGTCGATCTATCGGAACATCGAGTTAACTAGAACTTTATAAATCCCAACCATGATATCTGATAACCGATCAAATCGTTTCACTTCAAGAGTATTCATTCTTTAATACAGACAACTCTTGTCAAATGATCATCTTCCAAATCATCACTAAATGGATCTTAGGGAGATGAACAAATATTCCAATGGTCTTTATTTCATTTCCACATTGCAACGATATAAGGAAATGTTGACATACTTGATTCATGGTTCATAACCCTTAGGGACGGTACATCATGTAAGTTTATTAGCGTTTCTAGACTTATCCAATTCAATCACTTAATCATAAGTCATTGAGGTTACTTAGGTCATTTAGTAGTCAAGTCTATCCCAGTCACTTCGGATTTTCCAGAGTAATTCTATTGTTTTCGAAATTCAAATACATACAGTACTTCCATTCCATTTACTTGGTCAAATAATATAATCATATTAGTATTCGAGGTTGATTTGTTCATTTCAGAGCCGAGGGTATTTAGTTATTTCAGAGCTTGGACGTGTTTTGAATCATATTACACTTCAGGGGCATTCCAACTAAATCAGGAGTTTAATTGGTGATTCCAAGATTCAAGTGGATCATAATCTAAATTCTCAGGTCGCCTCCATTATCATATTAATCCATATTCCTTTTTACTCTTTAAGGGTATTATTGTCATTTCATTCAATTATGTCAGTTGCATTACTTCTGATAACTTAGGCTTGAAAGTATTCTAGTTCCTTTAGATTTCAGAGTACTTTGTTCATTTGATCACTAAATGTTAACTTCACCACTAGGGGAAGTCTTGGTCCTTTTCCAGTACAAGGACATTTTCATAATTTTATCTCATGGTGCTATTTTTGGTAATTTCTTAATCAAATATTCCCAACACTGAACCTTTAACGAGATTAATCAGAATTTACGCGTTCTAAGATTGATTGATTTACTGATTAAATTTTTGAACTGAGATTTGTTTCCGATCAGTCTACCTATTTTTTTAGAGTCGTTAGAGTCTTACACAGTGTTCCTTCTTTATTACAATTTTCGTCTGAGTCCAATGATAGTTAACTACCCTAATGGACCAATCATTTCCATTCACACATTTACCATTTATCAATGGCTCCAAAAAGCATACAAAAGATAGTAGAGTATTACCTCAATTTTTGTGCCATATCGATCAACCATTTAAACTCCATTCGGTCATCCTCGAACTTTAATTTAATGTCTAATAATTCCTCAAATACATAAGAAACGAATTTATGTAAGAAACTGAACTTAAATGAGAAACCAACTTGAATATGAAGATAAAACATCAAAAACGGCTTATCCGGTGCGAATTTGACAAAATGGACTTCAGATTCTGACTCTGGACGTCGAAAAACATAAAATAGGGCTTTTCAAAATGTTTGACTTTTTCAGTCAAAGTCAAAGTCAACGGTTTGACCGGTCAATGGTCTGACTGATCAACGGTCAATGGGTTGACTCGGTCAAAGTTAACGAGTTGACTCAGTGACTAGATCAGAACAGGAGGGTCGGGTCGGATCAGGCGGGTCAGGTTGACCGGTTCGGGTAGATCCAGACCGGCTGGACCGATCCAAAAGCTTCCAGGGATTGGGAAGAAGACCACATGTACTGCCGACGCGTGGCGGAGCGTGCGGCGGCGATGAAGGTCCGATTGGTCGGCGATTACTCCCTTTTCATGTACTTGACAAAAGCGATCCAACAAAATCAACAATCAACCAAATATTTATTGGAATTAAAAGAAAAGGTCTGAAACACTTCCCACACCAGCGATCGGCAAAAATGATGACGATGAATAACAATCTCGGTCGGGTTTTGATCAGAATTGGCTGGGGAACACGTTGATGGTGGTTGTGAGACACTACGGTCGACAGTTTGACCGGAATCGACGTAAAACCGAGATGATGAGGGAGGTTTCTCAACGGTGATTTTAACGTTGATTTGCGGCGGAAGAAAGCGTTTCATGATGCGATAAAGCTCGAGC